TGGGGCGGCCCCATCCCTGGCAGTGTTCAAGGCCAGGTTGGACACAGGGGCTTGGAGCAACCTGCTCTAGTGGAAGTTGTCCCTGCCCGTGGCAGGGGGTTGGAACTGGATGAGCTTTAAGGTCCCTTCAACCCAAACCATCCTGTGATTGTATTCTGTCACTGGAAACTTTGGCAGTGGGTTCAGTGGTGGTGTAAACTAAAGTCACTTGGTGTTGACTGTGCTCCCATATCTTTGTGTTTCAAAATTTATTACTTTTAGACTTACTGTTTGCCTCTGTGCAAGGAAGAAATTGCACTGTGAACTAGAACTTGCTCAGCAGTTGGAACTGTTGTGGGCCTACAGCACCACAGATGTATACAGAGAATGTAACTTACACAGTGTCCTGTTCCTGCAGTGTGAGTTCTGAAATACTGAAAAGAGAGGCTGGCCCATAGGAGTGGCTCACATGGTTTCCTGTAAGGAAGAGTCTAATGTTTGGAGGAAAAAAGCTAACAAAACAAAAAGCTCCTTCCAAGAACAAACCAGGCCACATTTAAATGATTTAAGTGAAACTAAGGACTTGCCCAAAAAAGCCAGACATCCATGGGAATAGACATACCCACTGTTTTCACTGCTAAAATTGGTACTGGTTTGGTTTCATGAAGACTTGCTTTCAGCTCTGTGTGTTACACTGGTGTTCAAAGCACTCCTGAGAATTCAGGCATGCTTCTCCTTCCATCCTGCTAAAGAATTTGCAGTTGCAAGGTGGCACACTTCAGGGTGGGAGGAGAACACTGCTGTGAAGCTGTCCTGCAATCTGCTGTAGTTCTGTGCCAGGATGGACTGGGATTGAGAGAAAATACTTGTAAATACACCAGAATTTTAGGAGATTTATGTTTTTACTTTCAACTCTGATTAGAAAGATTGAACGACTGTTTGTGGATATTATGGTTTTGGTTTTAAAGCTTGATGCCAATTCTTCATATTTGCTCCAGAACTCATGAACAGTAAAATTTGGCAGGTATTGGACTTCCAGTTGTACTGTTAACCTTAAGGTACTGCTAGAAATAGTGCCTTCCTGTCGGGAAAAGCTTTGCATGTATAGATAATATTTCTCCTGAAAGAACTTGAGTCCGGTTTACTACAGCTCACTTCACCTTCACTGGTATGGAGATTTTAAAAACTTCTTCCTTAGGCACAGCTGCAATCTCAGCAATACGAGGTTGATCCTCCATTATAGAAGCTTAAAACCTTTTAGTTCTCCCAAGGGCTTTTTGTGCAGGAGACACCTGACATTTATATACATGAGTTGCACTAATGTATATAAATCAGACTTTGGAATGAAACAGCGCAGCTGATCTCTCCTGACACTGGTTATGTAACTGAGTGATGATGTGTATTGTGTAACTAAGGCAAAGGTGGTGGCATTTCATGTTAATGAAGATACTGCATACGATATTTTCTACAGCATGCACAATCCAATCTTAATGGCTGGATTAAGATCTAGCTTGTAATTAGTAACTTTAGTAATAGCTGCTAAGAACATACAGCAAGGTAAATGACAGCAGGACTTGATTCATTTTTGGATTAGTCTTTGCAACAGCTCTTTTTCTGACACATTACAATTTTACATCCTGTTAGTACAGCCTTGGTTTATTAGCAAAATGTGTCTTCTTCAGTTGAGACAGTCACTACTATTGCTGCCTCTGTGGAGTAGTGTTAGTACCACACAAATAAGTTCTAGCAACGTTGCTTGAGCGATTCTGTCAGTGTAACAACATCAGACCTGACCACAGCTTTGAACTGTGCTGCCAAGAGATGGTAAGAACTGTAAGCTTGTTTTAATGCTGCTTGAATTGCCATTTCTTTGGACAGGTCTAGACTCCATTTTCAGGAGCCTATGTAGAAATGAAGAATTAGGTTTCATGCTGTTGTATCAGGCAGGGTGACTGCTCCAGAGAATCGGGAATAATGCTTAGGCCCTCTTGTGACAGTGGAGACCCACATGAATTGGGAGGGAAAAGATTTGTTTCACCAAAAAAAGAAAAGGTATTTCCCTGAAATGGTGCATGTGCTGCTCTCCCTTCACACCAGGTGTGACTGATACACCAGTGTTTGCTGGTTTGTCTTAAGATGGAAGATTTCCTGTCATTATGAGATCAGTGCTGTGTCCATACATGCAGAAACATCTAGGTACGTCAAGTGATTGGCATTCAAACTGTCAAGCCGGAGAATAAGCTTCGTTTAGGTATCATTTATTAGCTCTACCCTGCTGAAGTGTTGCAGTGTGGCTGTTCTCACTGGTGGTAGAGGCCTCTTCATGATAATTTGAATATGCTGAACATGTGATTAAAGCAATGTGAATGACTGGGTTTTTCATTGCAGCACTGACAGTATTGCAGCTGTGCCCCTCAGCGCAGCTGTGGATGGATTTAAGTCACATTTGGTCTTCAAAGAGATTGAAAAGAAACTTGAAGAGGTATTTGACTTCATGTTTTACCTACTGTAATTTATGACAGGACATGTGTGAAGTCTCATGGGAATATAGTATCATCAGCCACTTCCTCAGTACTCCTTACTGAAACTAATGTTACAGCTTTGAGTTTCGCTGTGCCAGAAATCTTTCTGTGCTGTGCCATGATTAAAAAACGTCTTTTTTTCAGCTAGTTCCTACCTGCATAAAGGGTATTTCAGTAAAGGCAAGTTCAGATTGTACATGAGAAACTTGCTGGCTTATCAAAAAACTTAGTGTTTGGTGTTTGTTGCTTGCTTGGTGATTAGAAGAAGAAATCACATTTTGTCAGACTTGCATCAAGACAAGACTGTTGGGACACTGGTCATTTTTCTTAGTTGGTAGATTTTAATAGAGATACATGGATAGTCATAGTTTGTGGGGATAGAGGGCAATGGGGGTTTCTATGTTAGTGGAAAAAGGTAAAGGTTTTTAAATTACTTTATTTCATTCAAACTGTGTTAAAATTATTTGGAAGTAAATGAATAATTGACACCTTTCATGGTCATTCCAGGAAGGAGAGCAATTTGTCAAGAAAATTGGTGGAGTCTTTGCCTTCAAAATAAAAGATGGTCCTGGTGGCAAAGAAGCAACTTGGATAGTAGATGTGAAAAATGGTAAAGGCTCTGTAGCAGTTAATTCAGGTGAGTGCTATTTTATTATGTCATTGCAGAAAACACATCAAACTAATGAAAAGACTATAAATACATATTGCATTTAAGCTGCAGTGATCTTGAGCAAAAGTGGTATAGAGCTGCCTTAACTTTAAACTTAGCTACCTTCATTTTAGACTTTTCTTATTCCTGACACTTTTAATGGTCATGCTTTGGACCCAGAATTAAACATCATCTACTCTGACTTCTGTCTACATAATTGCATGTTTTCTTAGAAGCTCCAGACAGACCTGCCAGATGACTCTTACAGGAATAAGAATTTTTAAAATAATGAAGTAATTCAAACCTCAGGGGTTTTGTTGTTCTCACCTTTTAAAATTTGGGCCAGAAATGTCATTTGTAGTCAAAGAAACAGTCCTGTCTTCAGAATCTCATGTATCCATGAACCTGCATCATTAAGCTTTTAATTAAAAACATGACAGAGGGGTTGGTTTGGAATTCATTGATTTAAGTTATTTCAAAAAGAAAAGCACTGTTTTCTGTTGCATGGACAACATTTTACCAGATTCAAGTTTTATAATAAGATGAGTATAGAAACAGGTGTGTGCAGGTTTCAGCCCTTTGGTATATACATCAGTATGTCTACTGGAGCTTATTAGAACAGTTTGTCAGCTTATTTCTAGTCAGAAGATCCTAAAAACTTCTGAACTTGAATTAATTCAACTGAGTGCTGTTAGAATGCACATGTTGTTCCCATTGAAGGAGAGGGCAGGAAATGCCAGAAATGTCAGTGATGAGTATCTTCAGAGAGGGTCACAGGGGAAAACACATCTCTTCTGAGTTGATCTTGATCCTAGCAAGTTTAAGCTTGATAAAGCTTAAGATGATTGCCAATGCTTGCAGTTAACATTCTGTCTGATTACAAGTAGATTATGATTTCAAGGAATGAATTTGCTTAGCACCTTTCAGAAAAGTCCATCTTCCTTCAGTGCTTGGATGGTCTGTGCTACAAGGTGGCACAGATGCCTGTTGGCTATCGGGTGACCTCTTGCTCATACTTTTATAATGGCTGCTACTTGTATGTACTTAAGGTACCATTTTGCTAACGTTCAATATCAACAGATTCTTCATGGAGTTGCAGCTTCTGTTACTGTTTCATCTCTCAGTTGAAATGTTCACAGTCAACTCTGTCTTACAGATAAGAAGGCGGATTGTACAATTACAATGGCTGACACTGATCTGTTAGCTCTCATGACTGGCAAAATGAATCCTCAGACAGTAAGTATAGCAAAGATGAGACAAGAGGACTGACTCGTTTGTTTTGACTGTGTTTAAGTTGAAATCATTTAAATAAATCCCCCCTCTGAAACTGCCATGGCAGATCTGAAGAGTGACAATTCTTGACTTCCTCTGAAGTAAGATTAATCAAGAAAGCTAGTCGCTACTTCTCTGAAGAGGTATATATTATCTGAGACATCCTATAGGTAATCCAGAAGGGGATACAATAGTGCTTGGTTTGCAGAGAAGAAGGAGAAACTACTGTTTGCAGTGTGACTTGAGAAAGGAGGAACGTTAGCCCTCTGTTGGGAGGGTTTTATCCTCATAGCTGGCATTAGTGTAATGAGTTATCTTGATGCTGAAAAACAGAAATTGAGGTGAGCATCCCTTGAATGCCTGTGATTATTTGGTTGGGGTTTTTTATTCATCAGTATACCAAAAGCAGCCATAGTGCACAAAACCAGATGTTTATGTCAATTTTATGTTGCTGTCCTGTACTTCAAAGAATGTTACCACTTCAAACTTAGAAGTTTTTGATCTGGTAATTACAGGAACTAACTTGTGTCTGGGAGAAGTTTGAAGGTAAAGCCCATTACAGAAATGTTGTAATGTACATGTAGGACACTCGGAAGCAATTGCAATTTTACACCTCCAGTTTGGATATTCTAGTATGTGCAGTGCATCTTTTTGCAAAGTCTGGAGGAAAACCCACAAATCTTTAGTGTGTGCTTCATAGACTAGATCTGCAAAATTGAGTTAATCAGTAACAAAACCAGTAATGACTGGGGGGGAGGGATTTGAGTAAGAAATTATTTGTGGCATCTGCTGTACACTATTGCTTTATCATGTCCAATTGAAGTAGTGAACTTTCATTCTATGAACTGTCATCACCGAAACACGGGGTATTCTGCCCTGCTTTGGATACAGATCCATCATTATGATAATCCAAGAAACAAGCAATGCCAAGCTCATTTTCTTTAAGTATCACAAATACAATAAGCATACAGCTTCCTCAGTTCACTGTTTTATCTTTAGTGTCAGAAAATACGTTTGTTGATGAGTGTGAGGTGTCTGCTAGAGCTGTTGGAGTTAGAAGGTTGCAGGCCAGGACCTGCACACACATAATAGCCCATAACTATGGAGGGTGCATTTGGGGTAATCTGTTGTATTGCATTTCACAGAATATTTCTTTCCTTTTAGGCATTCTTTCAAGGCAAATTGAAGATCTCAGGGAACATGGGCATGGCAATGAAACTTCAGAATCTACAGCTTCAGCCAGGCAAAGCTAAACTTTGAGCTCCTTAGAGAAAACAGTCAGTACTTGATATTCTTCACAATAAAAAGTAGAATGAAACTAGGCATTATCAATAACATGATGCAGGCTGGGTTTGATTGGACCTCTCTCACCGAAATTATGTGGTTAGAGACCTTAATTCTCTTAATATATTCCATCAGTTTCTCTGTGGCAGAGATTTTTAAGCTAAGCTTGAGGCACTAACTCTTACAAGTGGTAAATGGTGGGTATTTGTGACAATTTTGTTTTAATCAGTATGAAAAGTTTTATAAACCTTTGAAGTTGAATGAGGCTACTGTTCAGGTTAGTTGGGAAGAGAGGGAAGAAGGTGATAGTTTGACATATCAATTACATTAGTTGCATTTTTTAAGGCTGTAATAATGCTTTCAGGCTTCATTCTAGCAAATTTGCTGCTGCTTATATTAACATGGTCTTGTACAGGGATCTCTAACAACATTTTTTTTAGAACAGGCTTTAGGAATTTGCTGAAAAATCCTTTTCTTATTACTTCTTTGCAATTAAAAAAGAAACAAAATATCCAGAAATAAGGAGGAACTAGAATGTTGCTTTGAGATTCACAGGATTTGGTAATAGTTCACCTTGGACAAAAGATCAGGTTTGCCAGGAGAGCAGAGAAGGAGTATAACCCACGCTTTACCTGCTTTCTTCTGAGAAGATCTGGTGTTGATCATTATGAAATCCTTACCAGTAATGTAAAAGCTTTAAGTGCTGTTTTGGGAAAATGTATTCTGGTTGGAGGTTTAATAGAAAATTAAATATACTTTTACTGTTCTTCTGTGTGTCTCTTCCTCAGATTTGTAACGTGGATTTCATGTTGGTGCACTGAATTGAACATTTTACACATTGTCATGAAGGGCACCCGCAGTCATCCATTTTTAACTCCTTGGACATTGCTGGTAGATAAGCTGACATCTCGGTCCAGTATATACACCTCAAATCCTCACACATGTAGGCCATGACTGAGGAACTTGGGCATAAACTTCCACTTCTCTGGTTTAACTAAAACCATAACAAAAATGAGCTAATTCAAGTTAATCGTTTGGCTTACCAGTGTGAATGCTTTACAGATTGCTGAGCATTAAGAGTGGGTGCACTGAATCAGGCCAAAATCGAGCTAGCCCACTATGTTCTGACCTTTGATTCCTTAGAAGGAATATTAAGATGGTTCAAACATCTCTTTATCCAGAATACTTTCCTAGCTGCAGGAGGTTTAATTTTTGCTTTTCCAGCTCACAAATGTCAGCTGTGGTAGGTCTGCATCGAAACTTCTTGGTGGATGGTCTTTATGAGTCGGTCCAGTCCCTTTTTGAATCTTTAAAGGCTTTTTTAGCATAGGTCAAGAATTTCTGTAGCTTAGCTACATGTCACGTAGAATTAAATCTATTCCTTTTTCTCGTACACATTGCAGTTTTGTTCTATAGCTTAGTTGCTGTTTTTGTTGGTTGGTTTGTTTTTTACTGGAACAAACATTGAACAGCTTCAAAGCACTCCTGGTGTTTATAAACTTGCCTGATCGCTTTCAGGCTTTGGAGCTAGAAGAGGATGTTCTGTTTAACTGTGTCACATGGGGAGACAGCGGTAACCTTTTGGCTGTCCATGTATCCTTCCTCTTTGCTGCATTCCAATTGTCCTTGAAGAAGACTTTAAAGATAACAAGAGCTTTTTCAGGTTTTACTTTTCTTTCCCTGGTTGCTTTTCTTACCCCCACTAGTCTTGAGCTCATGTTTTTTTAGATCTCTGAAAACTGGGGGCTCATTTCTTTCATACTAACTCAGTGCTTATTTCTGCACAGTGCAGCTGAAAGATTTCACTGTTACTGTTTTGTATGCATTGCTTTATGTACACTGAATTTCAACTGCCTCTTTTACTGCCCAGGCACTCACTGTTCAGACCTGCCTGTACCTCTTGTACTCAGCCCTGGTCTTTAATATCTGGATGAACAAACTTTCATCACTCCACTGTTCATCATCTTTTCCAAGGGATTAGTTAAATAGGACAGATGTGGCCTTGCTTCACTGTGAACTTCCTAAAATATCATCTGATATTAATCAGGTTTCCTCTTGTGTACTTACTGACTTACCCAGAGGGTTGTAGTAGATATGACTGCTGTCTCTCAAACAAAAGCAATGTTAGATCTCTACAAAACAATGTTTGCTGAGATATCCACTACTTTTTCTTACATTTGGCTTGTGGACTAAAAGAAAGGGGAATTACAGCATTGCAGAAGTAATTATGCACTGAAAACAATTTGTTCCTCTGCACAAAGTTACAGATACACCCTTTCATTAGCAAGCTTTGTCTTCTTGAATCACTAAAACTACCAGAAGAGCTTTAGTGATGTCTGTTATGCATGCTAAGAAGATGCCTTCTCCAAGAATTTTGAACACAGACACTTTTTTTTTTGCTGTTTAATTAAAGAAGCAAATGAATTTTGAAGTACGAACAGGCTGACATGGATCACAGACTGTACTAACAGAAGCTTAAGATGTGTTCACCTGCAGATAGAGATCAGTTTTTAAGAGGGAGGAAAGGTTGCACAGGAATACTAAAAACCAACCAAGGAAAAAACCAACCCCAAAACAACCCAGTGCAAAAACAGCTTTGGAGTTTGGTACCATGAGAAAGAATATCCAAGTCTGAGACCCGGTCTTCAGAGGAATCTGTGGGTTTGTACAGGCCCAGGACTTTCAGGTTTGGGCACTTGCAGATACCATGTCATTACAACAGAAAAATCCCAGATTAAATCTGTATGTTTATTTTGCTTGTTGATCGTAGCTAGGGGGAGTAATGCAGAGGTTTCACAGCCTGCTTTGTCTGCTTGGGAGGAAGAGAACTAGTCAGTTTTGTATTTCTCCTGCAGTGTTTAAGAAGATGGATTAAAGAACAAGGTCATATATTTACCCTATCTACCAGTCAATGTCTTACTTGACACATTCGTCTTGTGCTCCTTCTTCATTTCCAGCACCTTCTTTGTGTCATAACTTGCTGAGTATTTTTAAAGTATAATACTTTTTCTAATTCTCCTTTTTCCAGGAGTAGGGGGGGGTGGGTGTGTGTGCACGTGGGGGTGTCTGTTCTAAAAACCCCAGATCCTCCATTTACATTCTTTTGCCTTAGACTCTGATAACTGAGTAAATAAATTCCACAGTAGACAGAAATGATTTGCTCTGCTCATCGTGATGAGGAGGTAGCCAGAGCTCTGTGATACACAGCACATTTGTGACATTTTACAGCTGCAGGTTGGGCAGAGAAGAGATTCAGAGCAGCCCTGCAGAGAAGGACTTGGGGGTGTTGGTTGATGAGAAGCCTGACATGAGCCGGCTTCATTGTGCGCTTCAGGCCAGAAAGCCAACTGTATCCTGGGCTGCATCAAAAGAAGCATGACCAGCAGGTCAAAGGAGGTGATCCTGCCCCTCTACTCTGCTCTCGTGAGACCTCACTTGGAGTATTGTGTCCAGTTCTGGTGTCCTCAACATAAAAAGGATATGGAGCTGCTGGAGCAAGTCCAGAGGAGGCCACGAGGATGATCAGGGGACTGGAGCACCTCCCATATGAAGACAGGCTGAGAAAGTTGGGGCTGTTCAGCCTGGAGAAGAGAAGCTGCGTGGAGACCTCAGAGCAGCCTTCCAATATCTGAAGGGGGCCTACAAGGATGTTGGCGGAGGGACTCTTCGTTAGGGACTGTAGTGGTAGGACAAGGAGTGATGGGTTCAAACTTAAACAGGGGAAGTTTAGATTAGATATAAGGAAGAAGTTCTTTACAGTGAGGGTGGTGAGGCACTGGAATAGGTTGCCCAAGGAAGCTGTGAATGCTCCATCCCTGGCAGTGTTCAAGGCCAGCTTGGACAGAGCCTTGGAGACATGGTGTAGTGCGAGGTGTCCCTGCCTGTGGTAGGGGGTTGGAACTGGATGATCTGAAGGTCCCTTCCAGCTCTAACCATTCTGTGATTCTGTGATTTAAGTTCTCTTACTTATTTTTTGCACTACTCAGACACAGCATTACCTCCGTTTGTACCATTTTAGAAATCTCTTTATGAAAGTTTTCTTTCTCAACCCATAATTCTCTCATGACCAAGCAGCATTAAGCACCTCTTCTCCAGCTAAAATCCTCTGTAACTTCAGATCAGCCTTTCTTATGAAGATTATGTGTTACTGCAATTTTGTTACATTCACTTGATTCCTTAAGGGCAGAATTAAAGGCAGCTGAAGTTACCAAGAGATGGCCAGTCACTGAACATACAAGGGTATAAATCTTTGGTTTCAAAGCCTTTATATAAAGAAAAACCCCCTAATCCTTTAGGCAGAGGGTTCAGTGATCTCAGACTCCCAGCTCACATGAGAGGAAACTTCAGCTTTAAACATAAAATGTTCAGGAGGGCTGTTCTTCCCTTCATGGACTCTGGTGAATACCCTTCGCAGCTATTGGTTTTGGTGGGGTGTTTTTATCAGCTGTGATAAATGCATTAATCATTTGGCAGGCAGAGGTGCTGCCAGGTTGGCAGCTCTATCTTACATTTACTTTCTGTTCTAAAATTCATGTTATGCTTTCAGATATGAATTTTCATAACAAAGAAAAACATAAACCATATTTCATTGCTGTAAGAGAAGCAACTTTGTCAGAGTTGGAGCCAGTGAGCAGTGGTGCCTGACTCAGTAGATCTGGCTTGCAGGAATTTGAGGGAGTGCTTTGGTTTGGGAGCACAGATTTTACTTTTCAACTTTTACTTGAGTTTTGTGTTTCAGTCCTGCTGCTTTGCCTAGGCAGGAGTAGGTACAATGCATACATTACACTTACACTTGTTATACAGTATGTGTTTTCAGAAGTGATTGCTGCTTTTCTTACAATTAGAGTCCTTGGAAGAAAAGCTGAGGGTCAGAACATGGCTCCTTTCCTTACAGAAGTATGCTGCTTCAGGAAATCTCAGTTCCTCAGATCACGATAGCAAATAGGAATTTGTTACAAAATTCTGAATTTGGGATATATAGAAATTCTTCCCCGTGAGGGTGCTGAGGTGCTGGCACAGGGTGCCCAGAGAAGCTGTGGCTGCCCCATCCCTGGCAGTGTTCAAGGCCAGGCTGGACACAGGGGCTTGGAGCAACCTGCTCTAGTGGAAGGTGTCCCTGCCTGTGGCAGGGGTTGGAACTGGATGAGCTTTAAGGTCCCTTCAACCCAAACCATTCTGTGATATCCACGGGCAGATAGGGCAGTTGCTGCAGGTGAATGTTATTGTATGGACTGACCTTAA